GTGTCCCACCAGGGACACTAACACACTGGACCACTGCTACACAACATTAAAGGACCTTAGGACTTGGGACTCTCTGATCACTGTCTGGTTCATCTTCTCCCGACACACAGGCAAAAACTGAAATCTGCTAAACCTTTTGTAAAGACTGTGAAAAGATGGACCAACGAGTCAAAGCTGGAGTTACATGCCTGCTTTGACTGCACTGACCGGAGTGTTTTTGAGGCTGCAGCCACTGACCTGGACGAACTAAATGACACTGTGACATCTTACATCAGTTTTTGTGAGGACGTGTGTGTGCCGACTAAAACCTTCTGCACATACAACAACCAAAAACCCTGGTTCACAGCAAAACTCATTCAGCTTCGTCAGACCAAGGAGGAGGCCTTCAGAAGTGGGAACAGAGTCCTGTACAACCAGGCCAGGAACACTCTGACTAAGGAAATCAAAGCTGCAAAGAGGAGCTACGCCGAAAAGCTAAATAACAGCTTTGCTGCCAACGATCCTACCGACACTCACCAACTACGGGAGACCATCCCTCAACTCTGCTGGTACTCAACAACTGGCAGACGAGCTGAGTGGCTTTTATTGTAGGTTTAAGAAGCCCACAGTCACACCTTTCCGCCACTCCAACATCGGTGGAGACCCATCTGTCAAACTCCTGAAGTTTGCTAACGACACAACGGTCATCGGCCTCATGATGAGTCGGCCTACAGACGGGAGGTTGATCAGCTGGCTCTCTGGTGAGGTCAGAACAAACTGGAGCTTAACACGCTCAAACCTGTGGAGATGACCGTGGACTTCAGGAGGAGCCCCCCCGACTCTGCCCCCCATCACCATACTCAACAGCCCTGTGTCTGCTGTGGAATCCTTCAGGTTTCTGGGATCCACTATTTCCCAGGACCTGAAGTGGGAGCCCAGCACTGACACCATCATCAAGAAGGCCCAGCAGAGGACGTACTTCCAGCACCAGCTCAGGAAGCTCAACCTGCCTGAGGAGCTGCTGATCCAGTTCTACACAGCCATCATCCAGTCTGTCCTCTGCACCTTCATCACTGTCTGGTTTGGATCAGCCACCTAAATGGACAGGAGCAGACTACAACGGACAGTCAAGACTGCAGAAAAGATCATCAGTGCCAACCTGCCCTCCATTCAGGACTTATACATTTCCAGAGTCAGGAAACATCACTGCAGATCCATCTCACCCCGGATACAACCTGTTCCAGCTTCTCCCCTCTGATAGGTGCTACAGAGCACTGTACGCCAAAACCAACAGACTCAGGAACAGTTTCTTCCCACAAGCCATCACTCTGATGAACAGCTGATTTCTGACTCACAGTGTCAGGAACAATTCTTGTGCAATAACCCAGTAACTCTGTCTCTAATCAGCCACCTGTTTACTGGCTAACATTTATTATTTACTGCTGTTCATACTGTTATATTGTAGATACTGTATACCAAATCCACCTACCTCAAGTCATAACTCCTGCACAAAATACTTATTCCAGCATCCTTTGCACTATTCTTCACTGCACTGTGTACATGTATATCACATCCACCTCCGACATGTACATCCACCTGCATCCTTTGCACTCTGATCATTGCACTATTTGTCAATATGTCTATATTGTTGTTTGTTCATAGTGTGTATATTTGTGTTGTCTACACTGAAGTCTGTCTGATTTTATTGTATTTTGGGCCCGAGCACAAACCGTGCGAGACACATGTACATGCCGACATTCCCCCATGGTCATAGCGCCACCTGCTGGCAACAGGAAATAACATTTAACGAAGCAGCCCCGTGGCACGTTTCAGCTACATGTATGAAATTTCTGTGGCCCATGTATCATGTCCAGACGTACCAAAAAGCCTCTTGGAGTGATGCCCTAAACCCAACAGGAAGTCGGCCATTTTGAATTTTACAGTCATTTTTGGATGATTTACACACTCCGTACTTTAACGAACCCCTCCTAGGGATTTAGTCCGATCTTCAAAGTTTTGCTGCACCTTCTAAAGTCATTGACGATGAAAAGTTGTGCTATCTGTGAGTTTGTCAGTGGGCGTGTCGTCAAAGATCAACTCTTTGCCATGACACAGGAAGTTGTTGTAACTTCAGTGTACATGCTCACATCTGGACCAAACTTTACGTGCTTGATAACTCTCCCACCCCGCTATGGAGGACCGATCCTGACAGTCAGAAATAAATACATAAATAAATAAATGCTCAATAAATAAACAAGCATCCAATTAAATACACGAAAAAATAAAGTAAATAAACAAATGTTGGTAGTAATTAAATTATAAAAGGAGACATAAATGTATATATTTTAATTAGTGCCTTTATTATTCACCTTTGTTATAATTACCTTATTTATTTATTCTCCGTTATAATCTTCAACTTTATTTATTACTAATTTTTTAAATGTATTTATTTATGTGTGTGTTTTAATATTTTTGTCTGTTTTATTCTTCCTTTGTATTTTTTTACCTTATTTGTTTTCACCCATGGTATTTATTTCTGCCTGTCTTTTTTAAATTTCTGTATGCATTTCTGCCTCATTATGCAAATGAGGAGGGGCTGTGTCTCAAGAGGTCATCTTCTCTGCTATTGGTGGACCAGTCAGACAGGAGAGCTCCTACTCTGCCTGCAGACATCAACGATCTTGCCCCTCACACAGTCAGATGGCTTCCTTTAGTGCGCTGAGGTGTTTAACAACTCTGAAGACACTACCAGCCATGTCTTCCTTCTCTTTTCACGTAGACGCACCGACAGACAGTGCTTTCAGTTTGCTGCATGCATGGACACAGAACTGCAATACAGGGAGAAGCACACGGTCAGCTGGCTGCAGCTAAATCTGGAGTGCACTCGTATTCAATTCTGTATGGTAAATTCAGTTTTAACGGAGCAGAGCGAGCTGACAGGCAGAGTTAGAGACTTTTTCTGTCTGTTTCTCTCTTTACAAAGACGCATGTTGCAGTCAGAGTCTTCTCTGAGATGCGAGCACCACATACAACACAATTTATCAAATTACACAACGGATATACAGTATGAAAATAAGATTGATTGGATTATACTCACAGGAAGTATAAAACCTGTTACATGCGTCTATTAAAAGTAAAGTAACACAAAAATGTCAGGGAAATTACTTTACTTAGATTTAAGTACTGCAGTTGTACATTTGAAATACCTTCCTACCTTTCTGATAGGAAGCCTTCTTGAGGTGGTATAAAACATTTCTTCTTATATTCTGATTTGAGTTGTGGACAACTATGACCACATGAATTAAAAAAACATTTCACTGCCCAAGTCAGCTATAACACAAGTCTTGTTCATTAGACTACATGCTGTACAGTATTTGTGGACAGATTTTGTCCCAGGATTTATTATGCATTTCTTCTTCTTCGTTGCATGATTTAGAATAATAAGGTGAGAAATGGGTCTATTCTGAGTTCATCCTGCACTGCAGCAGCTAATAAAGTCCATTTAATCCCAAAAACGCTTTTCTTTTAGGCAGGCTGGAGCAGAAAACAACTCACCTTTCTCAAGTTGTACAGTAATGTCACATGTGTATGAAGGTGGATCAAACAAGCTAATCTTAAATGTCAAAGTAGAGAGGAGCCTAGTAGGCCTATTTATTTTCATTCATTACACAATATGAATAAGCTATGCAGACAGTTGTAAAGAAAGAACATCTTTTTCTTCTGTTCTCTACTTGTTATAGTTACACAGTATTAGGGGTGTGGGCTGTATTAAAAGTATCCACTGTTCTCCCATGCTCTAACACACAGTAACGATGAAATGTGTGCTGTTCTCACATTCTTCTTCTGTATGTACACATAAACAACAAGGCAGGGAAATATAAAAGGAATTTATTTTATCGTTTGGGTACATTATTGTTCAGTGTACATGCTCACATCTGAAACAAACTTTACGTGCTTGATAACTCTCATAGCGGCAAGTGCTATGTAGCTCCACATAGGGGACACAGGAAGTGACATATAGCACCTTCATGCGGCGTCAGAACCATGTAGCAAATTCACAGCCGCACCGGCAGAGCTCCAGAATATGCAACTCGGCCGGCTCACACCCGGAACTACAAGTGCGAGGGCCCGCCCAACGCTGCTTGCAGCTTTAATTATTAATTATTATTACACTAGGGCCAATATCTTTTCTGCTAATTATCATTCCACCTTTGTTAATAAGCTACTGTATAATACCGTAGATATCCACATTTATTATCATTTATCATTAGGCTATATTCTTGATTTGTATACTATATTATATTCTCTAATCACTAAATTCTACCTAGTATTTTTATTCCTTTTATGCCTTGCGAGTATCTGCAACAAAGACTTCACCGTGGTAGATCAATAAAGTATTCCGATTCTGAGCACAAACAAGTTGTCTCTATGGGTTAGTGGTTAAGACACATGCGTTTGGTCTGAGAGACCTGGGTTTGATTCCCACCGTGATACATGTGTACCTGAGCAAGACACTTAACCTCTAGTTGCTCCCAAGGTGCGTCCTCTGACATGCTTTTGAGAAAAGCGTCGGCTAAATGAGTGATTACTTACGAAACAACACAGATGTGTTTTAGCCTATTTAAACACACTTTTATTGCAATCCCCATCTGCTGTCTCTGACAATCTGAAAGCGTTAGTTTCTTTGTTGTATGGTGATTTCTCCGAAATCCTGTTGGTCATGTATTGATAAGACGTTTAGAATAGTAAACGCGGGTCAGTCATTGTTTCAATGAAAAGTGACCAGTAGGTGTCACCGTGGAGACAGGTGTCGAAGTTTTTCGAAGCCTCGACACAATTCCGGCACAATTGCTTCAAACGTTTCAATGTTTCACAAAGCCTCGCTTTGCCCATCACTAATTTAAATCCCCTGTTTCCAATACATTTTGGCTCAATGTCAACATTCCTTTGAGTTGACATTGGGTCTTCTGGGATCATTGAGATCACCTGTTGCACAGGGTGTGGGAACTGACTCCTTAACAATGATTGAGAGCAGCTTGGTGATTCTCTTCTTGGCAAATCAGGGTGTGATGACGCCCATTCTTGAAGGCATAAGAGAGGTGGGCAACAGCACAGCCAGGGCTAGTGACAAAGCCTCGTGAAGATTTATAGGCTTTTTTTCTGATTGTAAGTGCTGCAAGAACTGTAGCCTACATGTTGCTACCTGCCACTATGTCTAAATAAGGTTTCAAAAAGTTTCCTTAAATCATCATTATCTGCTATAACAGCAAACCAGGCAGTCTAAGCTACAATAAAATGTGGTGTCCGAACAATAATGCTGCGATGACGTGTTGAGAAGAAATCCGCTTGACACGCGTCAAATGCACATATGTTATACACCACAAAAGAAAGCACACTGTAAAATACTTCACCTCTGGACCTCTGCAGTGGCACTGGCTGTTGCATTTGACACATGCTGCTGTGCATTCAGATGGCTGTCAAGCCTCCCCACCGCATTTTGAAATTGCTGATTTTGTCCAACCCACTTTTTGAAAGCATTTGTTAAAAATGTTCTGAAAAATAGGTTGTACCAAAAAATGTTACTTAAGAAATGAAAATGTTTTGAGAAAGGTTTATTTGCATTAAGAAAACATGCAATGAAATTTAAATATAGAAGAAACAAATGTGCACTGTTCAAACAAAGTAACTTAAGTTATAAAAAATGCCTTATACAGTATTCTGTATTCTATTTTATATTCATGAATTGTCCCTTCAGCTGAATTTTTTTGTTTCCCTTTAAATAAATAAAGACATTTCCACCATAAATTGGAGCAGAAAATGTCTCCAGAATGCAGGAAATTAAGTGTTTAATGCTTCAATTTTTGGGGGGAAGACCCCCAGACCCCCACTCATATATTTCAGATTTCTTCAAAATGGTGTTAAAAATCTTCTCGTCTTGTTGTTGTGCATCATCATGTCTCATGACCCAAAATGTATCATCATGCCCCAAATTTGAGCACTTGTGTCCCCCCACTTTTCAACACAAAGTGAAATGCACAGAACTGTTCATTGGGGAGACTAAACAACCACGACACAAACGCATGGCTCAACACTGAAGGGCCAACTCCTCAGGTCAAGACTCTGCAGTCTACTTACATCTGAAGGACAGAGGACACTCGTTTGAGGACCACCAGGTGCACATTTTAGACAGAGAGGATGGATGGTTTGAAAGTGGTGTCAAGGAAGCCATTTACACCAGGGTTGAGAAGCTGTCGCTGAACAGAGGAGGGGGTCTACGCCACCACTTATCCCCCACATACAATGCTGTCCTTTCATCACTTCCCAGGAAACTGAACAAGCGAAACCTTTTGGCCTCAGGTGAAGATGCCAATGATGTTGTTACCACAGCCAGGAGCACAAATGAACCAGCGGTATCGATGATCCTAGCTAACGACCCCACAGAGGTTAAATAGCTGAGTTTCCCTACCGATCAGTCAGAACTGAAGAAGTCTCTTGGATGAGAGACAAAACATTTTCCAGTATCTTCAGCCAAGTCCAGTTGCCTTGACTTTAACCTTCTTTGGATAACTATGACCTGGATGACTGAGAACCTTCACAGACATGTTATAGTTATAGTAGCTAGTTATAATTCTTCCATTTTTGAAAATGCTCCTTTACTGCTAAAGTTGATGTCCTGCACAATAGGTTTCAGTTGGATTTAAAGGGGCTATACGTAGTTTAAAAAAAATTAACAAATCACTTTTTCATTGCCTGTGGGTGAAGAGGTTGTAACCTCACACACAAAAACGATCCACTTACTGGGTTTTATTGTGACCTCTGAAGGCCAGTATGCCAGTTCCTATATGGAGGAAATCTGGAGGAAGACTCAGGGTTGGATTTTACGGAAATCCCTTGCTTTGATGCACTCTTGCCTCGTCTACTGACCCTGCGCTACGACACTGCAGCTACTGACATGAAGTTCAGCAAGTACCGGCCTCCTGGCAACCGCCAAACCCAGACTCGTACATCAGATTGCCAGACAGAGAAGTGTGATTCGTCCCCCCAGAGAACACGTCTACACCGCTCTAGTGTCCAATGGCGTCGTGCTTTACACCGCTGCATCCGACACTTTGCATTGCACTGGAGATGTAAGGCTTGGATGCAGCTGCTCGGCCAGGGAAAATCATTCCATGAAGCTTTCTACGCACTGTACTTGAGCTAATCCGAAGGCCACACGACGTTTGTAGGTCTATAGCTATTGACTCTGCAGAAAGTTGGCGACTTCTGCGCACTGTGCGCCTCAGCACGCAGTGACCCTGCTCTGTGATTTTATGTGGCCTACCACTTCATTGCTGAGTTTCTGTTGCTCCTAATCGCTTCCACTTTGTTATAATACCACTAACAATTGACTGTGGAATATTTGGCATTGAAGAAATTTCACAAATGTACTTGCATGGGTGGCAACCTATCACGGTACCACGTTTGAATTCACTGAGCTCCTGAGAGCGACTCATTCTTTCACACGTTTGTGGAAGCAGTCTAGGTGCTTGATTTTATGCACCAGTGGCCGTGGAAGTGATTGGATCACCTGAATTCAGTGATTCGGAGGGGGGTCCCAAAACTTGTCAATATATTGTATGTAAATACAGACAGAAACCATGCAAGAAGAGAAGATAAGAGCACATATGTTTTCCTTTCCTCTGAATCTTCAGGTAGTTCAATATACCCAGGATATCGTTTCATTATCTGGCTTCACTAAACCAAACAATCCGATCACATAAAAAAGGGCAGTGTTTGCAGCTGATGACCGATCGCAAACTTAGAAAAGCCCACTGGCAGCAGAGAGGCAAATTTTACCAACAAAGAGCAAAGTATAATATTAGACAAATACAAAGAAGTCAAACACATCCTCCAGGCTAAAAGCAACACAGCTGCAGTGTCCAGATGTTTGGCAAAAGTAACCATGGTGATGTACCGTGGTAAGAATTGAAGCAGCATTTTAGGAGTGAAAACCCAGGGTTACTCCTGAAGTTCCCTCGCTAAGCTCAAACCCTGCTTCGTAGTACAGGCCTCTACAGCGACCTCTGTTTCTGATGCCGGCGGCAGCTGATCATTTTGTCAGGCCTATTTGATGACCTGAGATGAGAACATGTTGTTATAGCTACTGTAGCGGCCTACTGCGTCCTGCTCAGAGGCACAGGATCATTTCTATTGGCAGAATGCCTTTATATGACATATTTGTTATTTATGTGTGTATTTATTGATATTCTGATTGTAAATTCATTATTGATTAACCCACATATGAACATGTGCTGACTTTTGATTTACTAGGCCAGATGTATCAGGGGAAACTGAAATGATGTAACTCGTATCAAAGCCGATGTTTAGGATCATTTTTATATCTAATCTGTCTTAATCCATGAAGGGAAACTCTTAGGACCAATGGGCAGACAGCCAGGGAGCAGTTTAGGGTTCAGGGCCTTACTCAGGGGCACCTTTGACTATGTGGACTTGAACCTGCAACCCTCCAGTTCCCAAGCCAAGTTCCCATGGAGTGAATTAATACTGCCCCTGTCCTATATCAGCCTCACATGTGACTGAAAGGAAGGGATAAAATATGTAAAACGTGTTTCTTGCTGACAGGAAGCCTCTCTGACTTTAATTGTTGTTGATAATAAGCGGGTGTGTCGACCAGTAAAAGACTTCCCTGAAGGCTGCTCTTGTGTATCCTCGCTCGTGGCTCCTCGGCTTCAAGGCTCTGGAACAGCCTGTCCAAGGAAATCAGGTCGGCTGATTCAATGAACTCCTCCCTTACAGAAAGCTGTTGTGATGGGCTTGTGAAGTGTGAGGTGACATCTGAGGCATTTGGTCCACAAACAGGTTGTTCAGTGACATGTACTGTATGAACTGTGGCCCAGAATCCATTATGTTTCTGAGCGTCAGTGTTTCTGCCACAGAAAACATTTGTTGCATTGCAGATATGGAGCTTCAGTGTGCTGAGATTTCAGTGTGATGTGTGGACGTTGATGTTTGATATATTGTGAATTTGGTTTGTGTCTCTACATCAGTGGAGCTGACTCTGCTGCTGTTTAAAACATCCTCATTGAGATTAACACACTTAAGACGCTGTACAGTAATTCAAAATGAATAATAACAAATGTTTCCCTCTGAAATTTAGTTTACCACATCGGTCTTATTGTGATTGTTGTTTTATAAGTGTGATCTTGACAGAAATACAGAAAACATAAGTAAAGACAACTGTCACATACTACACTAAAATAATAGAAAATCAATTTCTATTTTCAAATCTGAGCTTCTGTTAGTTTCACTCTGGTTGTTTAAAAAAAGCTTTTTATTTTTTCTGAAGGTTTCAAATTGACCTCAAACTGTCTTTGGGTTGAATTCATTCAGCAGAGTGAGGAGGATTCAGACTTAGACAATCAGGGCACACAGGGACAGTTCAGTCATTTATAGATCAAAGTGAAGATGAAAAAGCTTCCTAGCAAGTCAGAACAGATGTAAGTGAGAATCCCCAGGTGATCAGGAATGTTACAGTCCCTTCTTATGTATTTGTTGCCATTTAATTTCCCTTTTCCCATAAATTTTGGCTGAATGTCAGCGTTCCTCTGGGTTGATTAAAGGATCGTTCAGATCACCTGTTGCACAGGGTGTGGGGACTGACTCCTCAACAATGACTGAGAGCAGCTTGGTGATTCTCCTTTTAGTAAATGAGGGTGTGATGACGTCCATTCTTGAAAGCAAAAGAGAGGTGGGCAACTGCACACTCAGGGCTAGTGAAGTGCTGCAAGAACTGAAACCTACGTGTTGCTACCTGCCACTATGTCTAAATGATGTTTTAAAAAGGTTTCCTTAAATCATAAATATACAAACTGTGAGCAGTCTAAAAAAAAAAAAATTTCTTATCACTTTGATACCAATGAAAAATATGGATTAATGGGGTATTTAACTAACTGTTGACGTTCAAAGTAGGCTAATTAGCTTCTGTATGGACGGCCTCACTAATGTCACATTTTGCCTCATTAAATGGGCTTGTCTGTATCAGGAATATGCTCTTCTATAAATGTATCTTAAGAAGACTGACTGCAAACTGTCCCCTTTAGTTTTCAGTCGAGACTCTGGAACCGACAAAAGACCTCTGCCCGAGGATCTCAAGATATGTGCAGGTGGGTATGGGACTAAAAGGTCAGGGATATAACAGTGAGAGAGGCCACGAAGAGCTTTAAAGGTAATCAATAAAACTTTAAAGTCTATTCTAGTTCTGATATAAAGGCGTGTATTACACAAGACAGTAATGAGTCTCCACAAAATGTCCTATTTAGGGCAATAGAACTGAAACAGAGACTCTTAGCTTCATCCAGGGAGCCTGGTACAGATGACCAATACGGCCCTGAACTGATCCAGTGGAAATGTCTAAGCTGTGGGGACAGGACTGATGTGTGATAATGTGAAATACCAGCTTAAGAATGATCTGGATGATCCAGCGCTCACAGATGATGTCCTACTAGCTAAGACAAATGAAACAGCCAGCAGTGGGAGAGGCAGCAAAATGTGTCCCATTTGGTTCATTCCAGCAGTAAAACATTGTAGAATTGTTCAGGCAGACAGCTTTTGGATGCTTCTTCCTAAGATCGCTCAAATCGTGCTTCAAAAAGCTTTAACGCTAAAAGACGAGTTATTTTTTCCTTTAGTTTTATAATATTAGACAAACTGTCAGAGGTTTGTGGATCAGTGTCTGTGTCTGTCTGTATAAAGTATAGGGGTAGAAGATAGTAAAGGGATCTGTTTTTTGGACTTATGGTCGGCCACATTAATCAGTATATGTTCATATAGTTTATGTTTTCAATTCTGTGAATTTGTAATGTACTTCTACCTTCATGTTGTGTCAACTGTGTCAGATGGAGGTCAGAAGGATGTTTGCAGGAGAACAGGGGAACCAGGCTAAGCATGTGTTTGGAAATGAATATTTGGTGAGTGGACAGTGTTTGATACAAGTGAATTTAAAATGCAGTTAATTAATATACTGAAGGAAATTTAAGAGCCATCAGACAAGTTTGATCCTCTGCTTGCTGTTTTCAGTCAGCTGTGGTTTGTGGGTCCACAAGTCGTGTGTGTGTGTGTGTGTGTGTTTGTGTGTGTGTGTCCTCAGTGAACTGTATCAGTCTCTGCAGTAGCTTCCAGCTGCAGCAGTCAGTTCAGTTTCTGTTCAGTCTGACTGAGGGAGGTTTTTGTACGACGCTTTTTCACTGTGTGAACTCGTTGGTCACAGAGAACCAACGTGTGATCCTATGATAACTCTGACAGTAGTAAACTGCTGCATCTTCAGCCTGAACTCCACTGATGGTCAGAGTGAAGTCAGTCCCAGATCCACTACCTGAAAAACGACCTGGAATCCCTGACATTCTCTCGTTGGTGTTGCGAATGAGTAGTTTAGGAGTTTCTCCATCTTTCTGTTGGTACCAGTGTAAACAGTAAGCACTGCTACAGCCCCAAACCTGCTGACTGACCCTACAGCTGATGGAGACGGAGGCTACCAGAGCAGAGCTCACTGCTCCATACTGAGTCACTGTGATCTGGCCTCTGGACTCTGAGGATACAGAGACAAACACATAAAGCAGCGTCATGGTTTTGTGGGCTTCATTTCAGAGGGACGGATGTTCATAGAGGAGAGGAGTTTGATTCTCTGGACTTTACCTGTGAAGCAGCAGCAGAGGAGAGTCCAGATGAGGACGGAGACCAAAGTCATGTTTTTGATGAGGAGGATTTCTGTGGCTTCTGTTGTCATGAAGGACAGCTGTCAGTCATCCAGTGTTCAACTCTCAGGACTATAAAGTCTCCCAGAGCACTGGAGCATGGTGCTGCTGATGCAAAGTGGCTCTCTATGGAAATGCTCTGACTGACTCCAACAGGGACTTGGATTACTCTGATGATGCTGCTTCTCAATGGATCAATGCGTTTACCAGAGGATTGATTAGGAATGTGTCAGTGATCATTTTTATGGACATTTGCTTTGATGACTGCAGAAAGATTTTCTTTTACAACATCTTCTGTCTGCTTTCATTTCATTCTAGAGGGATCAATTTGACTTTCACACCAATGGAACAATATTTAAAATAAATAAATAAAAATGGGATTCATTCTGAACAACTGTGTCACTGTTTGATAAATATAACATGAAATAGTTCATTCTTTTAAAAACAGCAAGTGTTTTTGTTGAGTTTGTTGTGTTCAAAGTCAGAGAGCCGTGTCTCTCTACAGTGAGAGGTTTTTGTACGACGACTCAATCAGTTTGTATCACTGTGGTACACGTTCGGTGGAGGAACCAGACTGGAGTTTGGAAGTAAGTTTCTGCACAAATATTAAATATCGTATCATCAGCGAAGGTTTTAATTTCTGTGTCTGAACATTTGTAGTAGATATAAATTTCCTCTGGACTGATCTAAATCACTTTAAAGACTCAATCTTATTGTTCGTTTCTCCTGTTTAACCATGAAGCTGAACTCAAAGCAGCTTTACTGAACTTCTCTTTAAAGAACAACACTCGTACTTTAAAAATTATTCAGCCTTTAATTCTGCATTTTAAACTGTTTAGAAGTTGAGTTAAAATTATTTTGAATAGTGTGAATGAAGATAAAAATGTTTCCAAATCTCTGATCTTCTAAAATGGCTCAAATTGTCTTTTACCTTCAGTTTGAAATAATGTTGACAGTTCTCTGATGCTGTTTTTAAATCTGTCTGAGGAACAGGTTACCTGTGGTCGTCAGGTATTTTGGGCTGATAATGTCCTTTAACAGTGGATCTCAGTATCTTTTGCCCTTTTGAGAGTTTTGACAGTAAATATGTTTTTTGTATTTCCAAATTTAAAACCTGGTTGTTTTATTTCCAGTACAGTTTGATATCTTTCAGCTCATATGAGGACTCTTTCTGTGCTGATATGCATGAGAGGTTTCTTAAAGGAAGTGAAACAATGTGTGAGTGAGTGACTGGTGGAGCAGAAACCAGCTGTGTGGTCCCCGTGCTCTAAGCCGATTGGTTCTTCTCCTAGGTGATGCCCGTCCCACCCTGACGGTGCTGCCCCCCTCCAGCGAGGAGCTGCAGCAGGGGAAGGCCACGCTCATGTGCCTGGCCAACAAGGGCTTCCCCTCAGACTGGAGTCTGGCCTGGAAGGTGGACGGCAGCAGCAGCAGCAGCAGCAGCAGCAGCAGCTGGGAGGAGAGCAGGAGCCCCGGGGTGCTGCAGAAGGACGGCCACTACAGCTGGAGCAGCACCCTGAGGCTCTCTGCAGACCAGTGGAGGAAGGTGGGCTCTGTGACCTGTGAGGCCACCCAGGGCTCCCAGACTCCGCTCTCAGAGACACTGAGGAGAGACCAGTGTTCCCAGTCCTGACCTGACTCACTGGGACTCTGCTACTGGTTTTCCTCTGCTCCTGCTCTCACTCTGCACTCTGGAACTGTCTCTCTCTTTTATTTCACATCTTTCAACAGCAAGATTTACTAGCTTGTTGCACTGTTTCAATATTATTTCAGTGTTTCCAGATAATAAAGACCTCTTCATCCAATCAGCTGTTTTCAGGTTTATTATTATCAAAGTGTCTTAATAAATGTTCTCTTCATGGTGTCAGTGACTGTTTCACATCCAGAGAACAACAGTTTAACATCATAATATATTTCTAAAGTTACAGTATATTGAGAGATTTTAAAGTCAGACATAACTCCTCATTATATTTTGATTAGTACAAACCAGTGATGGTCGTAGAATTCCATATTTTTTCACAATCAATTTGAATTCATTCATGATTGTAAAACAGTTCCTGCTGTCGTTACAGATTTTTCTGTAATAATAAACCTTTTTGGAACAAAATCCCTGGTAAAACTGTCTTAATGGTAATAACTTTAATCTTGTAATTGTTTGTGTATCCAAAGAACCTTTTCACTTTAATAAAACTAAAGATGATAAAAGGAAATAATTCAAATGTTGCTGATTTATTTACTCCATGAACCTTTTGGTTCCATTATGAAATAAATGTGTTTGCTGGAATAAAAAACACAAATTAAGTTATTTATACATGTTGTTATAGACATGATTTGTCATTTTGATTAGATGAATGAAATTAGATTTTATTGAGATGATATTTCGTTAAGTATGTTGAAGTTCCTATGAAAAATTGTAAGATATAAAATCATAAAAATTTACAATTTTAGTGTTATGATACTCTGTGAATTTCAGAAGAATAGTTCAATTAGATTATAAATGTTTGGCTTAAATACAAAATATTTAGTGTTGAAATGTTTAAAGTGTTGTTATTATTGTCTAAAAGTTTTTTTATAAACCTCTGTTTTAGTTTCAGTGCAGCTGTTGAGTCAGATCAGTTCCTCTCCAGCTGAGGGAGGTTTTTGTACGACGTTGTATCACTGTGTGAACGGTGTGCTCCAACCCTGCTGACAGTAGTAAACTCCTGAATCTTCAGCCTGAACTCCACTGATGGTCAGAGTGAAGTCAGTCCCAGATCCACTTCCACTAAAACGATCTGGAACTCCAGACTGACGGGTTGTAGCTGCATAAATCAGGAGTTTAGGAGCTTCTCCAGGTTTCTGAAGGTACCAGTGGAGGGAGCTACCAACACTTGTACTGGTTTTACATTTGAGAGAGACAGCCTGTCCTGGAACAGCAGACTGAGATCCAGGAGACTGAGTCAGGATGATTTGTCCTGATGAACCTGGAAAAGATGAAAAAGAGGAGAAGGGTTATTGAGAGAAATCCAGCTTGGAGAAAGATGATCAGCATCCAAACAGAAGAGTCTCATTTCTTTAAGATGGAGAACAGATGGAAGAAGGTAAATGCTGCTTGTTTCAGTGTTTCTCCATCACAGCAGAACATCATTGTGGTGAAGCTGGTTGCATCCTGAAGCAAAGTTTTCAGAAGAGAGTCTCACCCTGAACAAGGAGCCCCAGGGTGGCCAGCAGTAGAATCAGTGACATCATCATTGTGCTGCCGGCGTGTCAGTGGCTCTGAAAGGCCTGGACAGCCACTGATCAACACTGGCCTCTTAACGGCTGGGAGCAGAGAGGCAGGACAGATATGCAAACACACAGAGTCAGTGAACTGTAGCTGTCCTCAACATATCATGCTGTTTCCTCCTCACTGCTGGGACAGCTGCCTCACAAACAGGCTATATTTGTGACATGAAAGAACCAAGTTAGAAATTTTTCAAATCAAACTTCTGAAGGTTTTAAATTGACCTCAAACTGTCTTTGGGATGAATTCATACAGCAGAGGGAGGAGGATTCAGACTTAGACAGTCAGGGCACACAGGGAATGTTCAGTCATTTATAGATCAAAGTGAAGATGAAAAAGCTTCCTGGCAGGTCAGAACAGATGTAACTGAGAATCCCCAGGTGATCAGGAATGTTGCAGTCCCTTCTTATGTATTTGTTGCCATTTAATTTCCCTTTTCCCATAGATTTTGGCTGAATGTCAGCGTTCCTCTGGGTTGATTAAAGGATCATTCAGATCACCTGTTGCACAGGGTGTGGGGACTGATTCCTCAACAATGATTGAGAGCAGCTTGGTGATTCTCATTTTTAGTAAATCAGGGTGTGATGACGCCCATTCTTGAAAGCATAAGAGAGGTGGGCAACTGCACACTCAGGGCTAGTGACAAAACCTTGAGAAGTTTTTTTAAATAATAATAATAACAACAACAATATAAATATTATAATACTAATTTCATGGCACTCAAGGTCACCTTACAACAAGAAGCAAAAGTATGTACATATCATCATAAAAATATAGCATAAAAAATAAAAGGAAAATGAAATTTAAAACATCAACAGTCACAATGGGAATTGGTGTTGTATATTATTCCAGTGAGTATGGTAGTTTAAAAAGATTTGAGCGCAGTTTGTAATAGAGTCCAGAATGCAGTGTCAAAAGCTGCTGTGAGGTCCAGGAGGATCAGAATGGACAGTAAAGGACTGGGATCTTCTGCACGGAGGAGATCGTTGGTGATGTTAATCAGGGTAGTTTCTGTGCTATGTTTGCAGATTGGAATTTTTACCAGGAGACTGTTTTTGTTGAGGTGGGTCTGTAGTTGAGATGCAACAACTTTTAGGAATAAATCGAACAGAATTTTCGACTTTTTTACTAGGGTTATGGGGATTGGATCCAGATGACATGTGGAGTTACTGGATTTTTTAATAGTTTCAGAAATGTGACTTTCAGTTTGAAGGCTGAAGTCACAGAATACAGTGGCAGAGGTAATGAACTCCCTGATTGTGGGTTGGTCTGCACTGTGTTTACAGAGGCAAGATGGTCATGTATTGCAGTGATTTTTGAGTTCATTTTAAAGGTTATTGTATATTAGTTTCCGGTGGTTTGAGTAGTTTTTTTTACTGTGGAGAAGAGGGTCTTGGCATTCCCTTCACCTGCCGCGATGATGTTTGCACAGTATGAGTTTTTGGATGTTGAAAGAGTGTTTTTCTATAGCAGTATATGGTCATTGTATCTGTTTATGTACTGCAAGTCCAGTCTTTTTGTAGAGCCTCTCCAGGCAGCGTCCTATGGCCGTAAGCTGACGCAGTTCAGATGTGTACCAGGGAGAAGTATGGGTAAATGAGACAGTCCGTGTTTTTAGAGGGGCTAAAGTGTCCAGAGCAGAAGATAAGCTGTCATTGTAGCAGTCCATTAGATCCAGAGTTGAGGTGGTGGGCGGTGGAGCTGGGTTTGATGTAATTAAACTGATAAGGCTTTCTGGGTGCACATGTCTATGTTTCAATATGTTATGACACAATGGGCCTTTACTGAGCCGTAAGTTGGTGTTGAACAGTACAGCTTTATGGTCAGAGATGGGTAGCTTGGCAGATGGGATGTTATAGGGTAAGATGCCAGAACTATAGACTAAGTCCAGAATGTGGCCCTTGGTGTGTGTTATGAAGTTTAGATATTGTTTTAGCTCAAAGCACTCTAACATTGATTTAAAATCTTTTGTGAGTAGTAGTAACAGCCAGCAGTTCAAAGGAACACTGATCAGGTAAACAGGTTGGTGTTAGTTTTATACACTCATGATAGATCAGCACAAGGCTGCCTCCCCTACCCCCAGAGCGTGGTTTGGATATGTAGGTGGAGCTGCTGAGTTTAGATGAAGAAAATCATTTTGTGGCTGCCATGTTTCTGTGAGACATAAAAAATCCAGTTTGTGACCTGTGATGAAGTCATTCACTAGCGGGGCTTTATTGACAATAGAGCGGATGTTGAAGAGAGCAAACTTATGGCAGGTCCAGTGTGTATGTGTGTGTGTAGGTGATTTGGCTAGTGGAGTTAGAACGTTGAAGTCTACACACCGTGTACTGTGTAGGCGGGTTTCCCTGTGCTTAATAACAGTCTGTGTGAGTAAACTGGAGTGGTGTAATGACAGATGAGGCCAGGAGGGGGCTGTAGCCGGAGTAAGTGTACTCTGAGCTGGCAGTGAGACATGAGGAAGATACCTGTAAGGGGTGTGTAGTCATTCCCGTGAAGCGGACTGTACAGCGTGCTGCCAGTTAGCCACTAGTCAGTCTTTAAAGGGAGGAACGCTCCCAAAACAAGTTTAAATTTTCTATAATACCGATATTGTGTGCTCTGCAGGTGGAGTTTAACCAGGTGTGGAGGCTGAGGATTGTGGAGAAGCACCCTGCTCCACGGTTCAGTTTGGGAATAGGACCAGAAATAAAAACGGAAAATAAATACTTTCCACATGTACTTAAAAAGCTCATAAGGTCATTAAAATCCTTTTTGGTCAGCTCTTTGTCCCCACATGGACAATCACTCCGTGTATGGTGGGTGGAAGTGAGCTCAGCAGCCCCAGGAGCTCATCCAAGAGGGTAGGGACTGTGGCTCCAGGAAAGGAGTTGTTGCATTAAAGAAGTTGTTGCATTAAAGAAACGGATGTTCCTGATTATGGAGCAGAAAAGGGGACGAGGGGATAAGAGTTGCAGATTTTTGGAGCGGGACAGCACAGAATCAACTTCCTCAGTATGTGTTGACAGAGGATGGGACTTGTGGACAGGCAAATGTTGTGTTGAGGGAGCAAGGTGTGACCTGAGAAAGGGATTTCCTGCTGTCAGAGAGCAGGGATGGCCTCCAGACCCTCTCTGCACAGCCTCCCTGAGGATCCCACACCGGGAAGCACAGGTTCTTGACTGGGATGGTGGTCCATAATCAGACCGAGGACCCAGCCGAGCACCACTAGCTGGAGGGAAGGCCGCAGGGTCAGCAGGCATCGTCCGTAGACCGGGGTCATTATCGGGACATGCTGGGCCCAAAGGTGTATCCGCTGTGTGTACCGGAGTGTTGTGAGACAGGGACAGGAGAGGCTTATCCGCCCCGTCCACTTCTCTCTTGCGTCCATAGACCACCACAACCAAGTTGACTGGTGTTTTGGTGTCGAGCAGGATGAGAGCCGTGGGCAAGTAGAGGGATCCCACAGCATTGTGTTTTGGATGGCGGCATTGAGGGAGGCAATCTGTTTGGTCTGTGCTGAAGCCACTTCCATGAAGCCGGTCAGAAGGGAGTGTTTTTTCTGGAGTTCCTCAGATAGCCGTCGGATGTCTTTTCTAAGGTCAGTAATCTTTTTGTTTGCTTCAGCAAGTAGAATGGAGTCCTCACAGGGTATTGTTGGCATGGTTGCTTTTGGTTTGCTAGCAACCGTAGTATGGCTGTGTGGAGCTGCTGTAAGCTACTAGGCTAGCTCATGTGTATGGATACTATCTTAGCTCACTTTCTCTACATTTACTCATTTAGCTGACGCTTTTATCCAAACCAATTACAATTGCTATATATGTCAGAGGTCGCACACCTCTGGAGCAACTAGGGTTAAGTGTCTT